ATGATGCAACACCAATCGAGATTGGACTAGTTCCATAGAGGCTTCAGACGCAATCACGCTGAAGGCGTTCCCCAAAGTGTCGTCTTTCGACGCAGCGTCTCGTTCCCTTCTCGGCTTGTGAGTCGTAACCCGAGACATTTATCCAGTCATTCTCTGAGTGTTCGATACAAAGTCTTGTATGGGACACAACTGAGCTCTCCTTTGAGTCGCTGTTTTATGATCTTCTTGACCCTGTTTTCTGGATTTGCCCTGTTTACCTGAGTTTCTGGGGTCTGTTTGGATTGTTTGCCTGTGTTTTGACCTCTTTCCTGTTTTTGTAATACAATTTTGGATTACCGTTAATAAACTGCAGCGTTTGGATCCTCAGCCTTTGCTTCTCTGAGCAGTTTGTAAAAGAAACAGAGAGCGAATTCCCAGAAAATGATGCCCCATTGTTGTTCTCTGTATGCTCTGCATGCAAATTTAAGATAATTGATGAAAAGAAAACAGGAATGCATAATCAGACTAATTTGCAGCACTCACTTCATTTCTTATTTAGCACTGAGCACTTGTGGCTCTAAAGAATGAACCGCTGATGGATGGAGAAGGAAGTGTGTGATTCAGAGTCAGCTGGAGTTTCTCAAGACACAATTCATATTTAAGACAAATCTAAGCTAATCAAAGAAAAAATAAGGCAATCAGAGTGAAGACTTTTAAGACCACCAAGATTATAACAATTGTCCTAATAAAACTAAAACAATTTTACTGCATGTACTGAATGGAATTGTGGATTATCTGTAAGATAAAACAGGAACACAGCCAATGTTTCATCTATAAAAACTAAAAAAGACAAAAAAGAAAGTAAACATCTCAAATAGTCCAGGAACGAAGCATGATAAAGTTAGGATTTGTTTAATCTCTAACCATGTATAAATGTAAGTATAAATAAAAATAATAAAAGTGATGCTTGCTTAAGTAATAAACTTCAATAATTGTAAATATTAAAACCACTGCCCAGATTTATGCATCCTTAACTATTTAAATAGTTTAACCAATGTAAAAGTTTTTTTTTTATTATTCTGTAAAGAAAATGACAGATTTTCACTGTATTCTCAGACCTTTGAACCCACTATACATCAGTTGATCACGCTGTAAATGCTTCATCACAAGCTCTCTTGCTATAATAAAATATGTTTAATGATCATCTGCTGTATTTGTAATGCAGAAAGCGAGATGAATTTAGAGCCTTTCACATATGCTGTGAATGCATTATTGTGTGCTCTCTCCTTCAGCACAGTCACTGAAGGGCGACGCTGGCCATCATAACTGAGACAGCATGACTGAGCGACTCAAAGGCGATGTGTCCTTCCAGCTCCATCTGTGTTGTACACGGATGAAAGAATACCACACATTAGGGCTGCTCTTTTAAAACACTCCTTTAAAAGTAGGTGAAATGTGAGGCTCAATCCATCAGGATCAAAATGGCATCTGAGAATATGCTCCGATAAAATAATCTCATTTTGCAACAGACAGATGAAAAAAAAAAAACTAAACCGCAATATCCTGTTAGGTGGGTGATACGATGCTTGCTAAAAATGATAGCGCCTTAAAATAAAAGGCTGCATCCACGATTCACATGTTGCAAAACCACTTCACAAGAAGTAAATCATGTTCACACTAATGCATTCACGAAGGAAGTGTCACGTTCTTGTTTTCTTTTGGTTTTAATTTTTGCTCTCTGTCTGTTACTCGTTGCTGTGCGTCTGTGATTGAGTTATTGTGAACACCTGGTCTGGACGGGCTGTGGGGTATAAGTGCCTGTTCACTAACCAGTGGGGGGTTGTTCTCTTCTCTCTTCTTGAGTCTCGCAGGAATGGGCTCGTGCCGGTGCCCTTGGATTCGAACCCCTCGACCATCACCAGTTCCTCGTTATGCTTCGGATACTTTGTGGCCATGGTTGGACTAGTCGGCGTTTGAATGTCTTCCGTTATTCTTCATTTCATTATGTTTTACCCCAGAACCTTGTAATAAATATATACAGGTGAAGAATATCGTGCAAAAGTTCATTTATTTCAGTAATTCAGACTATAGACTCATTACATGCAAAGTGAGATATTTCAAGCCTTTATTTGTTATAATTGTGATGATTATGACTTACAGCTTATGAAAACCTTTTCACAATATTCTAATTTTGAATTTGGGGTTTATCAGTGTAGACAGCGTCAGTCATTATAATGGCTTCGGTCTTCTTTTGACACTCACATCCAGTGTAGGGAAACGCCATCCGTTAAGCGACTGAACGCCAGTGGGCGGAGCCTATGATGTGATGATGTAAAATGATTCGCTGATGTCTTGCTCTGGAGGCGGGCATATGCAAATGAATTTGCCCGTGTGACGTCACAGTTCCTGAAATATCAAAACAAGCCGTTTTTAATTATGATTTAAGCTATGAAACTTGCAGGATGTTTTAATGGTACAAAGACCTCTTATATGTCAAAAGATCAAGAACAATTTGATTTCTCATGTCATGAGCCTTTTTGACACTGAATAATAAACAGCACATGCTGACTGATTTGATCATTTGCTATTACAGTTTTTTACAATCATTTTGTTACTATTTTCAGAACCTTGATGCCATTTTTCACAACTCTAGACACAAAACTCACAACCAATGATCAAAATGCACATTTTTCAAAACTCTAACCCTTTTCTCAATTGCTTGGATACAATACACATAAAACTTAGATCATTTGTTCATTCAACAAAGATCACCTGTTCAATATGACACAACTTAACATCACAGTACTACTATTTCAAAAGGCAATTCACACATTACATTTCAAATGAGTGTCTATTCATTTCCTTACAATGATCTAACTATCAATTGATACAACTGCTCAAAATGACAAGTAACTGTTGCATTACTCTTAATGCATAGTTGTATGGAAACAGACACACAATCTTCCATGTTTACAGTAAATCATGACAGTTTCAAGATAACGAGATTCATTGTCACCAATTAGCGTGGAGCATGAACCAATTAGACAATATCCATGGATAGCCTACAGTAATATTTATAATATTTTTGCTTTGATTCCAATAAACCTGTGTTGTGATTGCACTGTAGTGTTTTGCATCAATATTACACACTTTGTTCAGTGATTCCACTATGTGTGTATTCTCTCTACTACTGCAGTGCTTTTACAGAGATGTATTTACTGTACATGTAGACCATAATGAAACCTGGATCACCTATTTTGTTCTACAATATTTAATGATTGTACGAACAATGACACAGTGAAACTATCGGTTGCTTGTGTGTGGGTGATCTATAGTTATGTTTCAATGGTATTTCACAGTAAATTTGTTTTTTGAACCAATGATTGTGCAAGTGCAAGATTTCTTTAAAGATGTGAATGCACAATGCAATGTTTTGAACATTAGACAGCCTGTGTTACAAGTGATAACCGTTTTGAGTTTTGTGTCTAGAGTTTTGAAAAATGACATCAAGGTTCTGAAAATAGTAGCAAAGTGATTGTAAAAAACTGTAGTGGTGTAACGAGACCCTCACGTCACGATTCGACACACATCACGATACTGAACTCACGATACGATATTATTGCGATACTCCAAGATATATGATAAAAGGTTAACAAAAACATTACTGTTGATTAAAATGCTCAATTATATTACGTTGTGTGTGTAAACGAATATCTTGGACTTGGTGCTGAAACCCAAAGCACAGGACAATAGAGACACCAGAATAACAATATTCATGATTCTGAAGCTGAAAATACTGAATTATTTTAGACGAATATGCTTTCACTGTCACTGACTAGATATATTTATAATAATGTCGGCCACTTTTACTGGTAACATCAGACATCTGGCATTATCAGGACACACAGATATTCCCCCATTGCATTATTATACATTATATTCAACATCATATATAGTAGTTTAATGTAGTACTGACACTAAAACTTGATTTTTTTCTCACACAGTAATTTTCAGTTGGGTGAACTATACACAATACATATTGTTACATTTTTGTATTGCGATATATTGTGACACCCCTATTTGCTAGCATTACCCTTGTGCATTGTTCAAATTCACTACCCTTTCGTTATGTTAGTGGCTGAAAAAAGCCACTACTTTAAACTGCTGTAAAAATGTATCAGATAAATATTTTTTTCAAATTTTTTTGCATACATCTATTAATCCACCTCAGTCCTAATCAAAACTACTAATTTAAAAAAAAAAAATCTGGATTTTAACTCTTTAATTGCCAAATTCATAAATGATGTCACTGATTTGGGGGTGAAAAAAACACAAAACGATTGATTTTCAATATAAAATATGATTGTGGACTGGATTTTTTTTTACTTCTTATCACAGTCTTGCACATGTCAAAGATTAGAAACAACATTGGTTTTGAGGCATTGTTAGTTTTTGTGCAGCAACAGATTTTAACTTTTTCTCCCTCATTTACTGTTCGTGGCTGTTTTTGCCCCATTGACTTCCATTATAACCACATTTTTTGATTGCAAAGCCATGACAACATATAATCATGCATTTTTGATTGTTGGTGGTTTTCCCTGTTGGGAAGAGGTCAAATTTGTAATTTTTACTGTTAATAACCAGGTGGCACCATTAACCCTTTATAGGCCTGTGCAAAAATAAAGCTTAGTTTCTGGCTTTTACATGGAGTGTAAAGCATGGCTTTTGCATGATTATGAAGTATAATAGCATATTAAAGTGTGCGTGTGTGTGTGAGTGTCAGTGAGTGTCAGTGTGAGAGAGAGTGTGAGAACTCACCTTGATGCGTCTGAGAAAATCAAAACATGCACCTCAACTCTCAGAACTACATAGAGTAAACAAAAACAAAGTAAGTCTAAGTGGCATTTGCTGCCTTTTGATGGTGAGAAATGCAGACTAAACAAAAACAAAGCAAGTGGATTTAAACACTTGCATTCAAGCCTGCTGGTCATTTGTCAGTTGATGGTGAGAGGAGCAGCATCATGAGTAAGCGCTTGACTTGTAGTGAAGTTTTAGACATTATTATGCAGCCTGACCCCTCCAGCGAGCTGCAGGATGAGATATTGTCTTCTGCCTCTGACACCACAGACTCAGGAGAGTCAGATCCTGATTTGGATGTGGCGCCCTCATCATCCTCTCTAGATTCCACTGAAGGTGAGGAGGATTCTGTGGATCCTGGATCTGGGTGGATTGGGAAAAACGGCGAGGTGTGGTATTCCACCAACATGGAGACAACACCCTTTCTACAGCCTGCCAGAGGCGTGACTCCAGGGCCGACGCGCTATGCCATCGCAAGGGTCCAGAGTGTGGATTCTGTGTTCAATCTGTTTTTTACGGAGGAAATGATTGACCTCATTGTCAGCATGACCAACCTCCATGGACGCCGCACTATGAGAAACTGGACCGTTGTGGACTCCACAGATCTCCATGCCTATATGGGGCTACTGATTTTGGCCGGCGTGTACAAGTCCAGAGGGAAGTCCACACGTTGCCTGTGGGATGATCGCAGTGGTCGTGCGATTTTTAGAGCCACCATGTCCCTCTCAAGATTCCATGAAATAAGCAGAGCTCTCCGTTTTGACGACAAGCTGCAGAGACCAGCTCGCCGTAGAGACGACAAGCTTGCCCCGATCAGATCCCTGTGGGAAATGTGGACGCATCGCCTTCCCCTCCTATTCAACCCTGGCAAAGATGTCACAGTGGATGAGCAGCTTGTGCCATTCAAAGGGAGATGCAGCTTTCGGCAGTACATGCCAAAAAAAACAGCCAAATATGGACTCAAAATTTGGGTGACTGCTGATGTTGCCACATCCTATGCCTGGAGGTGTGACATTTACCTGGGTAAGATAGGTAATGCTGCAGAGGTGGGTCAGGGAAAGCGTGTTGCCATGGAGATGACAGAGGGACTCCAGGGCGTCACTGTCACTTGTGACAACTTTTTTACCACCTACTCACTTGCTCAGGAGCTTCTGCGGAAAAAAATAGCCTTGGTCGGGACGATCAGGAAGAATAAACCTGAGCTGCCACCCAACCTGGTGCAGGCTAAAGGACGGCCTGCCCTCTCCAGCGTTTTCGCCTTCACAAAGAACACCACGGCTGTGAGCTATGTTCCGAAACGGGGGAGGAATGTGCTCCTCATCAGCACAAGGCACCGCGAAGCAGTGGTGATGGAGGGACCAAAGAAGAAACCTGAGATTATTGCAGATTACAACCGCTGCAAGGGAGGTGTCGACAATCTAGACAAGGTATGTGCCATTACACATTTGTTACTACATGCATCCTATTCCTATTAACTTTTACTTGAATACATTTGCTTGTTAGAGATAATTTTAGGAGATACTGTTTGTGTTTTGACAATGTCTGCATGATTATTCTCATTGTCATGTGCAGCTTCAAAAATACTTATTATGAAATCTGTACTTATTATTTTCTTGTTTTATATTTTTTATTTTTGTAGGTTGTCGGCACCTACAGCTGCAGAAGGTGGACCAATCGGTGGCCACAGGCGTTATTTTTCAATATGGTGGACGTCTCGGCATATAATGCTTTTGTCATCTTCACTGCTGTGGATCCCACCTGGAACCAGGCAAAGCTCTTTCGGAGGAGGCTTTTCCTTGAAGAGCTGGGAAATTCTCTGGTCTCTGCCGCCATATTGAGGAGAGAGCGCCTCCCTCGCGCACCAGTTGCTGCTGCACTGGTGAGAGAAATTCAGTCTCCTGCAGCTGTCCCGCAAGACGTAAATCCACAGACCCCAGCAGACACCAGCAGCTCAGAAGTGAAGAGGGGGACATGCAAGTGCTGCACAGTACAAAAAAAAAGAACATTCAGCACTTGCATCCGTTGTGGTGGACACATATGCAAAGAGCACCAAGTGGTATGCTGCAAGTCCTGTTGGAATGACTGAAAATACACACACACAGAGTTTGTGGTTTGTTCAATTGTTTATTTCTTCATCCATCCTCAACTGTTGAACCATTGTTAAGTTTATTTGAAGTTGTTGTTGCATTTTGGTTCATAATAAAGTGTTCATAAATTTGATCAGATGCTGAGTGTTTTTTGTTTTTTTTTGCACAGGCCTATAAAGGGTTAATGGTGCCACCTGGTTATCAACAGTAAAAATTACAAATTTGACCTCTTCCCAACAGGGAAAACCACCAACAATCAAAAATGCATGATTATATGTTGTCATGGCTTTGCAATCAAAAAATGTGGTTATAATGGAAGTCAATGGGGCAAAAACAGCCACGAACAGTAAATGAGGGAGAAAAAGTTAAAATCTGTTGCTGCACAAAAACTAACAATGCCTCAAAACCAATGTTGTTTCTAATCTTTGACATGTCCAAGACTGTGATAAAAGGTAAAAAAAAATCCAGTCTACAATTACATTTTATATTGAAAATAAGTCATTTTGTGTTGTTTTTTTCCCAAATCAGTGACATCATTTCTGAATTTGGCAATTAAAGAGTTAAAATCCTGTTTTAAAAAAAAAAAAATAGTAGTTTTGAAAAGGACTGAGGTTGATTAATAGATTTATGCAAAAAAAAGAAGAAAAAAAAATGATCTGATACATTTTTACAGCAGTTTAAAGTAGTGGCTTTTTTCAGCCACTAACATAACGAAAGGGTAGTGAATTTGCCCACAGTGTACTGTTGAGTTTTTGAAAAATTTCAAAGCATTTTCCCAAAATATGTGTTAAAATAAGATTTGTCACCAAAAATCATTCCATTTGCTGAAACACAGAAAAAGTTATGGACAAATTAAGACTCAAAAATACCCCATAGTGGCTGAAAAAAGCCACAACAGCACATAAGGGTTAAGATGCTTGGGTTAATAATGAGAGAAATCATTTGCACAGTCAGACATCTGACCTGTGGTTTGGGTCAAAGCGAACGAAGTGCTGAAGCTCACCAGAGCCGTGTGTGTGTGTGTGTGTGTGTGTGTGTGTGTGTGTGTGCGTGTGTGTTTGTGTGGGTGATGTTCTTTTCCACCTTCAAATTACATTAGCAGAAACGGTAATGATCCCTCCCTGTACTCATCCTATCACAGAGGACACACACCTGACCCAGCACGAGAACACACTCCATTAGAAAAGCAAACAGGGGTTTTTACACACAACCTTAAGTAGGTTTCCACTTTTCCCCAGCGCGGTACACAGACACCGGTGTTTGCTCAGCCGGCACTGATAAGCCTGTGCAGGAAACAATGGACAAGAAGAACCGAGCAATGGAAAGTGTGTTAAATTCGCACATTTGCAACATGGATGATTCTCACGTCACTGTGAATAACATGATCAAACCTGCAGTGGAGCTCTGCTGGGGTTAAAGGTCAGAGGTCACGCCTGCAGGTGTGTGTGAAGCAGCAACAGTGACACTGAGGCCTTCTGACAGCAGAGCTCTTAGCAGAGAGGTGTGAGGCGTAAACCGAGCTCGTCGGATTAAAACCTCTCCGTCTGTCCCTGTACGACCTCTTTCATGTGCTAGTGCAGATTTGGCAACTGTAGCTGGACATCCGGAAGTACAGTTGCAAGGTATGCATACTATATATTGAAGAAACACGTACTGTATAGTGGGAAATATGGTTTCCAAGAATGCAGTGTGCTCTTATTAACCTAACATTTACAGTGTATGAATGAACGGGAGGTTCGTACAGTTCAAAGTGAAGTTGCTCTAGTCTTTCTTCTCTATTGTGTCGTATATCGAGTGAAACGCTTCTGGAACAAGAACAGATGTGGGCGGGGCTTGATTGTGTCTGCGGGGAGTTGATTGGATGGTTGTGGTTTGCTATTGGCTGATCTCATGTGAGTGACAGGTTATAGCCCCGCCCACATCATCAGAGAAGAGAAGAGATGCTGCAAGAGGAACTTATTCGGATTCAAGATTACCAGGAACATTAATTTAAACAAATGACTCATTATTATTTGGTCTGACTATACCACAAGTTAAGACATCACTACACAAAATTGGATTAAAACTGCAATAGAAATATTTTGATTTCTAAGGCTACGTCTACATTAATCTGGATAGATTCTCTGTCCACATATAGAGGGGTTTCATGACGCGTCATCAATCCGGAAGTCGGCCATTTTGGAGGAACAGAACATAAATAATGCAACTGAATGGACTCGCAAATTTGGCTGATTATTGCTGCTGAAAAATGGTCGAGTTTTTGTCTGTACCAATCGGTCACATCGGGAAAAAACATGTCGAGTGCTATAGACTGTCAAAAGTTAAAGAGAAGAGTGCAAAAAACTGATGAAAGAAGGCGTTTGTGGTTGAGAGAGGTACAGCATCAGACATGTGTCAATGAAGCGTTGACTATGGCTAAAATGTCGACGTAGTTAACTATGGCTCATTCACACTGTCAGTCCAAATCCGATTATCTTTGTATCAAATTGGAATCTGATCTAAAATGATGTCCACACTGTGTATCGCAACTGTTCAGATCCGACGTGTGTGTCCATGCATGTTAGTTGGTAATTTGGCAATAAGGGTTGCATTTGCAATATAATGTTAGATGTTGTCTTATTTAAATGTTACAACATGGAAATGTGTAGCCGCCGCGCTGGACTACTGCGGCAGAACTGTAGGAGGCTGGTATGTACTGCTTTTTTCCCACGCTCGTCTGCGCCGGTTTCAGAAATAATACTTTTCTGCTCGTCCGGCACTTTGCAACAACACAGCATTGTTTCGGCAGTGACTTTCAGCATGTTTCTTATAAATGACGTTTGCATTTTAAGACATACCACGCGAAATCCGAGCGTTCAGACTGAGGCTGATGTCCTGATATGTGATTTGAATAGGATTTCAAACCACATATGGATGTAATTTGAAACGGATTTCATGTGCTTTTTTGGACTGACAATCTGAACGTATCCTATGTCGGGATAATAAATAGATGGAAGAATTGCAGTAATGTTACGTGCTAGAGAAGCTAACTCGGTCGGATCTTTACCACATATTAACTTTAGTTTGTCAAAATGTTGCGCTCTCTCCTGGTTCCCAAGTCCTCCTCTATATGATTTCGCACCTACCACGTGTTTTTTCCGTGGTTTATTAGTGTAACAATGTGTTCAGTAGTACATAAACAGTGCAATCCATGCTATTGTTTACATCCGAGTGCCTCCATAATGGCCGCGCATCCGGGTTACCGCCCAGAACGTGACGTTGGTGAAACCCCTCTTTAGCGTTTTCAAGCGTTTTTCCAAAAGTTTCTCATCCACACTGAAACGTCGGCAAACTAAACCCTCACAGAAGCTCACTGAGACGATACACACAGGACAAGACAATACAGTTCTCATGCAATTCTTCTGGCAGGATAATTTTATTTAGCAAAATATCTCATGATTCACTGATCGTCCAGGTCGCACACACACACACACACACATTCGCCATTATATGTTTGGTCTGAAACTGCTCGTGTTTCGCCGCAGGACAGCAGATGTGAGTGAATCTTCTGTCATCTTTGCAGGACTGTGATATGAAGAGTGTGTGAAGTTACATATTTTAGCAACCGTGTGAAAGTGAACAGCACATAACTGGCACAATACCAGTATAAACATGAATATCTATCATTTCAATACGCGTCACATGACTAAACTTACATCATCGTTTCGAAATACCTCAGTTTTGACAGTCCATATATAACGCGAAACCGGTTTTATAATAAAAATGTGAAAAAGATGTGTATTAGTGTGGACAAGGCGAAGACAACTGCATGCCACTACCTGAAAAAATGTGCAAGGTAATAATTTTTGACATTATAATATGCAGTATATAGTTTTCCATACGGAGTTGTCATACACACTCAAAACGTTATTCATAAAACATGAGCAGAACAAACAATGGCTATATAGGCTTATTATATTGATATTTTCAACCTACAGGGGAAGAAAAACAACAACAGCATAAATAAGTATAAATTACATTTTTAATACTGCATAGCCATCAATAATTCATACAAACACACACACACTTCTCTGGTTGTGTAAGAGCCTGACTCATATGCCAGCATGTGCCCTGTCGCTGCTCGCTGTAGGTCAGCAGATCCTCATTAGCCAGTGTGAAGTGTTAAGGAAATACAAATGTGTGGGATGTTACTAATACTAATACGACACGCCGAGCACAAGGAACGACGGTGTGATTATTGAGCTGAATGTTGGCACGCTCCGCGACTCTGATGAAACACTCGCTGTCCAATACCCTCTTCAGGATCCACGCTTAATCAGACATCTGCCGAATGAATGACGCGCTCATAAAGGACATTTGGCAGCACTCAAAACAAACCGTGCATTAAACACAACCCGGCTGTAAAACCACCGAGCAAAAGGTGCCTAGATGTCCTCATTTAAAG